TTCCGTTTCTGGTAGTCCAAGTCAACTGTTGCTGCCGGTGGTCGGCAGTCAGCAAGCCCTCTGTCGTTGCAGTCTCCTCCTGTCGCTGCAGGACGCATCTCTGTGATGCGACCCGCTGGTCGCTCGCGGGCCCTGCGACCGCACGATGCCACTGCGCACCCAGTCGACGATTTTCATGAAAACGATCGTCTCGACGCGTGAGACCCCTCACACAAGACCCACGACGCATGAGACCCCTCACACAAGACCCATGACGCGTGAGACCCCTCACACAAGACGTTCACATGTCGTTCACATGACGTTCACATGTCTTGCCAGATCACGGATTGTCAAACCATCGCCAGAGTTTGTCGCAGCAGGGCCGCTATGGCCGATGTTTTTACGGGCTACGGCCTGCAGACAGCCGGGTAAAACACCTGCTCTGGTAACTTCAGGACGGCTAGGTACCCTGGGATCCCGTGTCTATCGCCTTAAGGCTCCTGATCGGCCACACAAGGAGACCGTCACCAGCATGACATTCTTGTGAACCAATGGAAATCAAACTAAACGAGCCAACTTCTAGTGCAGGTTACCTGACCAAGCACGCGAAATAAAACATCACCACCATAGTCCCGGGTACTCAGCCCGGGTACTCAGCCCAGACTCTCAGCCGTTAGTCGAGCACCTATGCGGTGTGCCGCCAGGACCACAAAAAGATGCATACAAGCGTATGCACCCAGCATAGAGCATGTCGAGCAATTAGTGGTGTCCAGCAGCTTTCTAAGTGGGGCTGAGAACGCCAACGGACCTGGGATGCCGTCAGAAGCGGTGTCTGTGAATATCCGTAGCAGTGGCAACTGCTGGTCGCAAAGTTTAAATTACTAGATCTCCGTGTATCGGCACCCATACGGAACGGAGGCAGCGGGAAGAGCTTCCGCGGTCAGGAAGACAGCGTGGAGCGCTTCCGTGGTCGGGAAGACAGCGTGGAGCGCTTCCGTGGTTGGGAAGACAGCATGGAGCGCTTCCGCGGTCGGGAAGACAGCGTGGAGCGCTTCCGCGGTCGGGAAGACAGCGTGTAGCGCTTCCGCGGTCGAGAAGGCGGCTTGGAGTGCTTCCGCGGTCGAGAAGACGACCACCACACGGAGCCGTGCCTCAGCTGAGCTGTCAGCGACATCTGTTGAAGCCCCGCCCGACCACAAGGTGGCGGTGGCGTCTGGCTAGCACGTTGGGAGGAAAATAGCGCTGTCTTACGGCGATCAACACATTCTCAGATGAAGACACGTGATGCTATGGCGCGTGTAGCGCAGCCATCCGATAACACGCGTCTGTCATCTTCGCAGGCCTCCAGGGCACATGACGACGGCACGGCGCGCTCGTGGTCGGGACGGTTCGTGGTCGCGCTCATGTTAAATTACGCCGATGTTCTCCATTGGCAGCAGTGTAGTTGGTAGCGGTCGAGCAGGACGCCGAGCCACCGGTGGTGAGGGAGTCCTCAGGTGAAGGTGGCAACGTCAGCGGATCGGGTTCAGCGTCCGCAGCGGGGGCTGCCAAGCAGCCGCAGAGACGAGTGATTAGATATAAATCAAATTTAGTCGAATCGAATCATTAGCTATCGAATTAACGTGGATAAAGAATGAATCATTAACTTTCACACGTCGTTTTAGCCAGATTACCTAGCAGGGCAGGCCTCATGGGTATTACGAGTTTTTGGACAGAAGAAGCAGCGTGTCAAACGTACCAAGACATCCCCAAGGTGACAAGGTCAACAACCCCTGGCAATCTTTAAAAGACACTCACTCACAAGTGACAGGGCCAACAATGTCGGTCTTTAGGAGGTCCTCGCCTGCAGAGGACAGTGGGAACAGGCCACCGGGGTTCTTCGGGAGATCCTTACTTGCACGTGACAAGGGCATCAGGTCCGCCTTCATGTCCACATTACCACCTGGAGAGCACATACTGCGAATTGATATCACGTGCTCTCGGCATATAGTGGAGGTTTGTGTCTTTCCCGAGTGGCTTGCTCAGCGCGCACAGGCGACAAACTTCAAGTTCTCACGATTATCAACATTAGGTGGCAGGAAACAAGAGTAGGTCAGGCACGGCATAATGGGCTGAAAGACGTGGCGTTGAGTTGCTGCCAACGGAGAACCGAAAAAGACAGCGCACGGTAAGCAGCAGACCTACTTTGTGAACAGCAACAGCGAACATCCCCACGCAGTGAGGGATGCGAAAACTATATTGCATGCCATTCCTAAAAACACACATCCTTATCGGAGGGAATACAGATTGATTGGTTGGTGGGCCATATTTGTCTTGGAGTGGGCAAAGACACAAACATCTTTATCTTTAACCTCTGAATGCATGCTACAGTTATCCATAGCTGGTAAGTGGAAGTGGGAACAAATATGGAGACATCACCTCAAACTGGTATGCGTTTGAGCATGTCAAGCACAGTTGTTTCAGTTTTATTTCATCTCTAAATTAATTTTGTCTTCAAATAATTCATTTTAATCACACGTTGCAATGTAGCAATATTGTGTTCGGCATGATGCATGTTTTTTAGCCATGCTGGGTGTTTCCCATTTGGGAACCACCCTGGTCAGAGACAAAGCTGACTAGATGTGAGTGGTTTTGAAACATTGACAAACATCTAGTCAGTTTTGGCTCTGACCAAGCTGTTTTCTAAGCGCCCTGTACAGCCACAAAAACATGCTTCATATGGCAAAAAGGTATAATGATGCGCTCAAATCCCTGTAAGCACTGTATGTGGTGAGTGATTTCTATTTTAGCAGCCTCATCCCGCATCTGACAGAACGGAAATAAAACACCACATTAAAAGCAGCAACACTGCCATCACTAGGTTTTCACCTCCACACCTTAGATATATTGCATTTTACAAAATTTCGGCCTTGCAATTTCACACCGGACCAAACAAGACTAGATGAGTCCCAGACTACAGTTAATGTTGCACTGAACACGTTCCTCATGGGAATAGAATGCTTGTCATGATTTCAACATGTGCTATGTTATAGACCAGATAGCTCAGAATTTGGCACACAATTGGCACCAATTTCAGGGCGTAGAGAGACAGTGTTTCAAGCGAATGCGTTGATTAAAAGGCAATTTTAGGCAAAAATGGTCAGACATATGTTTTCAGACCTAAATGAGAACATTCAAAGCAGATCAGCACACTGATGATGGGAGAGCGTTCACCCCTACTGATGGGGTGAGAGCAGCCCGGTCCAGCCGAGGATATGTTGCTTCTGCAAAAATCTGTAGACATCTCTACCCAGGTAGTGCCAAAGAAATGCCAGCTTATATTTTATCATATTGTCCTGACCATCTGGACTTTCGCGGTTCCATTGGCTCCTTGCTTCCTAGGGTTTTCAACATTGCTGAGCTTCCACGGAGTTTTTAAGAAAAATACATCTGGAATGCTTAACCTGAATGGCTTCGTGTCTATCGTGCTTGGTTGGTGAACGCGATTCGTTGTACGTTAACTGAACCCACCACCCAAGTTTGGCCGGTCCAGTCCATTGATTACTTTTGTCTACCACCCCTCCGTTACAGGGGCCTGCAGCAGGCATTTTGGCCCCATGAAGTTCCCCACCACGACCACGCGGGCCACGCCGAAATCTTTTGGCCAGTTCCCAGCTGTCCTTTGGACGTCATCCGAGCGAACAGTGCACCCATTCCACCCACACTAAGCCCTCTGCGTAACAAGCCCTGCATCCTTCGCATTTCTCTTGCCTCAAAGAGAATGCGAAAGCCGTGTAAGCGAGATTTCTCACACCGTGCCACTTCCCACCCCAAAATTAGACTTGCATGCACAGACTTCAAATGTTGGGAGCTTTCACAGCCACGTTGTATCTCATCGCTCTAGTGCCCATACATGCACCGAAGGCTACTTGACCTGATTCCGGCGGGGCCTTGCCCACCACAAGCCTGCAGCAACGGTCCTTACCTTTCAGATGAGAATCTGCGGCTACTGTTACCGCAGCAAACAGCTCTCTCCTGGGCTGCGCTAGGTGTCTTTACTGGTATAGAGTATCTGTATATGGTATAGAGTATCTTTACTGGTATAGAGTATCTGTATATGGTATAGAGTATCTTTACTGGCATACAGTATCTGTATATGGTATAGAATATCTTTACTGGTATAGAGTATCTGTATATGGTATAGAGTATCTTTACTGGTATAGAGTATCTGTATATGGTATAGAGTATCTTTACTGGTATAGAGTATCTGTATATGGTATAGAGTATCTTTACTGGTATAGAGAATCTGTCGTCTGAGGCGCGGACAATGGTCGTGAAACTTACACCAACACACCGCTGTTAGCCCGGCGCAGCGAACGCCGCGACATCTGGCGTTTGATGGCGTCGAGCGTGGGCTGACCGCCCTTCGTTACACCCAGCGGTCGGATGGCTCGTGCATGTGACTCGATACACCCAGCGGTCGGATGAGTTGTGCATGTGACTCTATACCCCGGCTGTCGGATGACTTGTGCATGTGGCTCGATACACCCGGCGGTCGGATGACTTGTGCATGTGACTCGATACCCCGGCGGTCGGATGACTTGTGCATGTGGCTCGACACACCCAGCGGTCGGATGACTTGTGCATGCGACCCGATACACCCAGCGGTCGGATGGCTTGTGCATGTGACTCGATACACCCAGCGGTCAGATGAATCGTGCATGTGACTCGATACACCCAGCGATCGGATGACTTGTGCATGTGGCTCGACACACCCAGCGGTCGGATGACTTGTGCATGTGACTCGATACCCCGGCGGTCGGATGACTTGTGCATGTGACTCGATACACCCAGCGGTCGGATGACTTGTGCATGCGACTCGATACACCCAGCGGTCGGATGGCTTATGCATGTGACTCGATACACCCAGCGATCAGATGAATCGTGCATGTGACTCGATACACCCAGCGATCGGATGATTTGTGCATGTGGCTCGATACACCCAGCGGTCGCATGACTTGTGCATGTGACTCGATACACCCAGCGGTCGGATGGCTCGTGCATGTGACTCGATACACTGACGACAGCGATCTCTGCTGTTTCGCGTGACGTCACGAACTCTATGTCCTCCACGGCTGAACGCAATCGACTTGACCGTTTGGGTTGGTCGATTCACAATCGACTTGAGCGGCTGCTTTGGTCGATTCACAAGTTACATCGCCGTCTTCGAAGCACACCAGCAAATGCGACATGTCCATGTGAGAATTGGCACACGAAGAAAACACAAAATCGTGGGTGACAGCTGTTGTTTCTCCGTCACAAGCCGTTACAGAAAATCCGCTGTTGGCAGCGACGGCACGAGTTGACTGTGCGAGTATGCTGTTTCCGGCCGAGGTCTGCTTAAACTCCAGTCCCGATCCATCTAAACTCACATCCAGATACGTCTAAACGGGAATACGGACAAAAGTACCCATAGAAAAATGCGTATGACATTTGTTCATCGAATACAGTACGCGGCCTAAGGTTTGGCGGAAAAAAGCGTAGAACGCAAGGTTTTCACGTCAAAAGTTGGCGAGTGGAAAAATGCGCCTGGATAAATTTCGTAGCGGCAAAAGTTGGCGATGGGAACAGCGCATTTGGATGCAGATCGTATTGCATTATATTCGCCAAGAAAAGTTGATAACAAAACTGTTCGTGCGCGCAAAAGTTCACATGTCGAAAGGTCGTAAGCGATGGTTAGAACCAAATTTTTCGGACCAGAGTTCTATTCAAGGTCAACGTTCGTTTGGCGGAAGTACGTCAGCAAAGGTTCGTATTTAAACCACTGATGTCAAGACCCAAAGTTTATGCAAAATTTGTCATGGAAGAAGGCACGGGAACAAAACTTCGTGCGTTGATGTGCACTACTCGCTGGGATGTAGATATTCATTCTCCGGTTACCTTTACACCTTTATCCGTCACCCTGACGACACGATGGAGGGGCTAGACGTGTAGGAAAGTTTCACTGCAGATCACCAGTCGAGTTTGGTTTGCTCCCCCTTTATTCCTAACCCTGACGCCGCCTCTGCCGACGACTCGGCCTGACGCTCCCTGAGCGCGCCACTGACGTCAGCTGACGGACGCGGCGAGTCAGCTGGCGTCAATGACAGATAGTGGGCAGACGCGACAGTGGCACCCGGTACGCGATTGCTTATGTTCAGCAAATGCGTCCAGGGAGAATGGTCCACCAGCTGGACCCGCTTTGGTGCATCACCTTTGATTAGGCGCCCGTTTGCACCCAAACCAACATTACCCGGCAGCATCATCTTGAGACCAAGAGCCGGGCGAAGCTAGAAATCACTCACTCGAATTCCTACGTCGGATATCCCCCGAAACTAGATTTCAGCAATATTTAAGAGCTGGCCTCAGCAGTAAATCGCGTCTGATAACGTAACGGTCGACCGATCACGGGACATTCCCAATCGTCCTGGAACACTCCCCCTGATCCTGGAATACTCCCCACAGTCCTGGAACAATCCCCATAGCAGTATCATCCACCATGCCGCAGTCAGTTCTCTTCATGCATCGTCATAGGGTTGATTTTCAGCCTTCTCGGCGAGAGGAGCGCACCCACGGCTGTCCGCTTCTACCAACTCGGCTTCCGCTTCTTTCGCTACTCACGAACCTTCGCGTAGGCATTTCTGCAAACCCAACTTTATCGGCTTTCAACATTTGCGTAGTTTGGTTTCTTGCAAGCAGTTGTGTACGCACTTCGTGTATGCGAATATCTTGGACATGAACTTTATATAATTCAAATCTGCGCTTACAAACCTTTGCGTACGTATTTCCGCCATAGGAACTCTACACTTTAGTTCATATGTTTACGAACAATTGCGTCGTGAATTCCTGCACTTTTGTTTCAAAACAGTCCAAACTTATTGCGCTTTCATTAATTACGCGGCGCAGTTACACCACGGCTGCCAGACCCACAGTCCAGAGAAGACGGAATGCAATCCGATCTCCCCTGTCGTCTTCCTGTCTTCCTGCCTCTCCTCCGCCGCCGATGGGCGGCGGGCTAGACGCCGAGCTGGTGCAGCACCACGTCCGGTTTATCTTGTGGTCGGCGCTGGTGCGGCTCCAGGAGTGGTGTCGTCACCAGCTGCCACCGCTGATGGTACGGCCAAGGTTGGGGTCAAGGCTACGGCGGGGCTTACGCAATAGCCAGGCTCAGCAAGCGCGTAGAGGTCTGCGTTAGAGATCACTCTCCTGCTTGTCTGAAATCTTCTATCACACTACCCGCGCCGGGACACCTCCCATCCTATTACCGTTCCCTCCACACTCCGTTCCCTCCACACTCCCCTCGCCTTCCGACCGCTCCTGCTCCCCTCACATCCCGTACCTCCATCCACACAGCGGCACTGCACACCCCTTCCCTTTCATCCACACTCGACGTCCTCCCCACTTCGCCTCCCTCCACACTCGACGTCCTCCCCACTTCGCCTCCCTCCACACTCGACGTCCTCCCCACTTTGCCTCCCTCCACACTCGACGTCCTCCCCACTTCGCCTCCCTCCACGCTCGACGTCCTCCCCACTTCGCCTCCCTCCACACTCGACGTCCTCCCCACTTCGCCTCCCTCCACACCCTGTGCGGTAACGTGTTGTCCACACCCGTGCGCCTCCTCCACTCGCCAGTCCCACCTGTCGCAGGGAGCCGGGGGCAGCCAGCAGGCGGGCGCAGAAGTACAGCGGTATGATGACGATGGACACCAGCGCCAGCAGCCAGCCCAGGCCGTCGGCCCAGACCGGATACACGTAACTGTTGTACCGCAGCGGCGAGTGCGTCGCCAGCGAGAACAGGAAGATGGCCTGGGGCAGAGAGTGCGTCACCAGCGTGAACAAGAAGATGCCCTGGGGCAGAGGGTGCGTCACCAGCGAGAACAAGAAGATGCCCTGGGGCAGGGAGTGCGTCACCAGCGAGAACAAGAAGATGCCCTGGGTCAGAGAGTGCGTCACCAGCGTGAACAGGAAGGTGCCCTGGGGCAGAGAGTGCGTCAGCAGCGAGAACAGGAAGGTACCCTGGGGCAGAGAGTGCTTTACCAGCGAGAACAGGAAGATGCCCTGGGGCAGAGAGTGCGTCACCAGCGAGAACAGGAAGATAGCCTGGGATAGGGAGTGCGTCACCAGCGAGAACAAGAAGATGCCCTGGGGCAGAGAGCGGAACCAGTGGGGACCTGGTGCCCGGAGACGGCGCGAAACTGGCACCAGCGAGAACAGGAGAACGCCCTGAAGGAAACATTTTTTACAAATGAGCTTCCCTTTAGAGGAGTCTTTGACGCCAATGTATATTTTTTTGGTTTACAGGGAAGTCAACAGACTCCTTTTTGACTTTATTAATGTCAAGAGAAGCCACTAACCCAAAATCACCGCAGTCGAACTTTTATGTTGAGAAACATGCTATCTGGCGTAGACCTTGAAGCTCATTGAAATTCAAATATGAAGATACCTTCAAAGCGTTTTGGTCATTTTGACCCTGTAAAGGTCAAATAAGGCCACTGACCAGCTTAGCACAACAGTAACATTTGTTTTGAAAGAAGCATCTAGGTTAAAGTGGACTCCGCTCGTCCTAGACCAGCTATCCGTTTTGAAATCCCACAGGAGGAACCATTTAAGTGATTTTATCTTATTTCACAGTCAACTCTTCAAATGAACCCCACCAAAACAAGGAGTCTTCCTGGTACTCCACACTTTCTGACGAAAATCCGTTATCTTCACCTTGACGGCGCGGGACATAAGTTAGACACTTTACCGTCCGTGAAGATGCGGGGTTTACCATTAAAAGTACCGTGTTCTGGAAGATGCACATATCCCATGTTTTTTGTCTATGCCGTTACCCAAGAATAGGCAACCAGGAGCACCCCTCCCTTCCAGCGACGAAATAAACCGTACATTAAGACCATAAAACATTACATCAAGTCGCAGCACACCAGGGTAGGAAAAAGGAACAAACAAAGCAACAGGCGAAGGGGTGGTGCGGACCCAGCAGGCATCGTGTTATGTAATTGGCAAGGACAAACCATGCATGAAAAGACTTAAAGAAGTTAGCCAAAGTCAGCTAGTGACAGCCCTCTATAACCACCGAATAAGCTACAACCACTCATTTACAGTGTTGGTACGGACTGTCATTCACACATGTCAGAGACCACCAAATAAGCTACTACCACTGATTTACAGTGTTCATACGGGTTGTCAGTCACACAGGTCAGAGACCACCGAATAAGCTACTGCCACTCATTTACAATGTCCATACGGGTTGTCAGGCACACAGGTCAGAGGGGCAATCATCTGGTCATTTTTGGGCAGGGTTTTGAGCTGGAACTCAAGGGAGCCCATCCAAGCGGAGCTGGTTGCTGGGGGAATACCCAGAGCCAGCGCCATGCATTTGGGTACAAGTGTATGGACATGGCTGAATCAAAACGTGATTATGGAGGATAAAGGAGGTTAAGTATGGAGGGAGTTACTTACCTACATGAAACAAATTTGCAATCTCTTCAACCATCTTAGTTACGTTAATATGTGTTCACGAAATCCTTGCGGATGATGTCCTTGACGATGGTTTTTGATCCAGAGATATCAGTTATTCTTGGGAAATACGAAATCATGACATCGCTCCACATCTTAGAGCCAAGGCAACATGTAGTAAGTAGCCTAGAATTACGAGTACATAATGGGTGATCTAAGTGTTTTACTCGCCTCATATGCATTTCCTTTGAATCGTAGACTTTGCATAGCGAATCGCATGATGCAGAAAGCTGTGAACTTCGAGATTTGTGCAATGACAAGTACCATTCGGGATTTAGCGATATCCGATAATTTGAAAATTTTGTACAGTTTAAAGATTTGCTCTGAGCTTTGTGGAGGATGCACATTTCCTTTCAAATGTTCAGACCTTTTGTTGCAAAACTACAAACCTGACTGGTTGAAAAGCATAATGAAAACCCAAAGTAGGCAGCAATTTTTCATAAAAGGAAGAGTTAAAGTGTTATATGGCTAAATATTGGAATTGAAGTGTTATATAGTGTTATATAGTTCTATACCTGACGTTCTTTTATCAGCAAGATGCCGAATCTTCCTAATTATTCCAATATTTCTACTTAGTATGCTTTAAACGAAATAAAAGTGAGGCGTAAATTTAAAAAAAATTGTCAATGAGCATACCGAGGTAATTGCTTTTTTTGCTGTTCAATAGGTGAGTTGCTAATGTGAATATTGAGTTGGAAATGCGAAGAAAGGGTAGTATAATGCCGTGCAAATGTTTTTGATACCTTAAGTGAAAGACAATTGACACTAAACCAGGAACCCAATGCAAGCAAAAATACATTGGCATTGTTTCGAAGTTCCGCAATACTTTCACGTTTGAAAGAAATCGCAGTGTCATCAGCGAAAGAGGTCAATCAAAATGTGCAATTGCAATTGTGCAATTGTGTGCAAAAAAATTGTGCAAAAAAAAGTGCAATTGCATCCTCTTCTGCTAGCATGAAAGTAATCACCACCTTCCGCTTAAAGTGAGTAAACCTCTCACCCAGTTCCATACTTTCCCCATCTCCTATACTGCCTCTTAGTCTGGGGTGGGGCTGCAGCGTGTTACCTAAACAAATTGCAACGAAACGAGAGCATCGCAACGAAAACATTTAAGACAGCGCTCCACTTTTATATAGGGTTTTGAACTGAGCGAGCCATCTTGTACATCATTCGGTGCATTGCAAAAGCTCTGTCATTCTTAAGACCCAAAACTATCCAGCTTTTAAGCTACACATCTGAGAAGCTGTGCAGACTAATTCGTGCAGACTATTTCAAGGTTATTCAAACATGCGTAACGCCATAGAAATGCCATTCAAATTCTGCCACCCCATCGGCAATGCGGCATTCTAAGCCCAGAAGTATGAAGTCGTCAAGTCGTTCATAAGTGGCATTTGGGCGCACGATTTAAAAACAAAAACAAAAACGGACGTCTATTGGCTCTCAAGCACTATTGCACAAACCGTGCAAGTTGCAATCCCGAATCGCGTTTTGCGCTACACAATACAAAAAATTGAAAATGGGTCCTAGCTATCACGAAAATAAGACACGTAACCGAATAACTTAAGAACAGCGCAATAGCCGAGCATGCAAAAACAAGTAAGACTCTTGAACTCACGGACAAACATGCAAGAACATCACAAGAAACAGCCAAAACACGAGCAGATAACGATATTTGGTTTGGTCTCAGCAAACAGCTCGAGCATTGCCACCGCCGCTTCTCGGGAGATTACAACCTGCAAGTGAGTGTTGGGGAGGCTATTTCGCACGGCCAAATTGGCAGCACCTCAACGACACATAAGTGCTCCATCAAACAATGACACCATGAGGGGCGCATTCACTAAATAGAAATATTGTGTTGGCTAAAGCAATATTTGTTCTCAAAAGTATACCAATAGTAAGTAAGCCTTATTACTATTATAAGCATTACATTATATTATAAGTACGCCTGTTTTACCATACTTGACGTCTGCATCATATCTTCAAACGTGGAGTATTATCTTTAAGTTTGTGACCATGTCATGCTGGTTATAACGTGTCAAAGTATTTTAAGCTCATCAAATGTAGTCATGTCGCATGTTAAACAACGCGTAACAGCGACCTTGGCTAGAATCTCTCCTGGGTTGTCCTGTGTCTCTACCACTGTTCACATCATGCACTAGCCAGATCACGTCCCTAGCCCATCCATAAACTGGCATTGGTTTTTTTTTGCGCGGCAGTATCTGCTGATTCGGTCAGCCGCCATCATTCTCCTTGTTTTTTGTGTATAAAAGCGTATAGTGAAGATACGCTTCCTTAAAAATATTATCCTTTAAGTTATGTTTCTCATCCAGTCATTCAGGTCAGCTCACCGACAAGATATTTGGTATATGAACACATACTCGTGCACTGAATTTACCTTTCTTTAAAACGGCCAGCTCGGATCAGCAACTTTTCGAGCAGGCCAGCCGTGCGAAAAAAACGGTTTTTGTTTAAACTCGCGAAATTTGGTTGCATCACTTTCCAGACATTTGGCAGCGCGAAGCCAACTCCCGCACTTCTCTCAGCGAGTGATAGTGCTGCTGAAAAGTGAACTGCACCGTTGTTTCTGCATGTTCCTTAATTATTTCCCAGTATGGGCAAACTGTCGCAAACTACATAAACCGTGGGCGACTGGTATCCTTGAGACGTCGGACTCTAAAAACGCGTCGGCATGCCTGTCTCAGCCTCATTGCCCTCAACATAAAGGGAGTGTTCCACATTTATATGGAGCTCTGAACTGTTGAAATACTACAAGGGGGTCAGCCTTTCCGCTACGGTAGCAAATTCGCACGATCCGTCGGGCAGCCCCTCTGGCGTCATACAAACGCTCCCCGAGGCAATCTGACGATGACGCATTGCGGAGCATATGTACTACAAAGGACAATTTTGCAGTCTAGAACAGCCCTTTGTACCTGAAAACATGACAATAGCTGCAAGTGTACTGGTTTCGCCAAACCTGATGCCGAGCTCAATATTGCTCAATGTGGAACTTTGCCTATAGCCCGCGCCCTGGCAACCGGTTTGATACGACACCGCACGGGTGGGATAGGGCTATTCCCCTCCCATATATATATATATATATATATATATATATATATATATATATATATATATCTCTCTCTCTCTCTCTCTCCCTCTCTCTCTCCCTCTCTCTCTCTCTCTCTCTATCCCACCCCTGATATCTCAGTAACTAGGAAATGTAGAAGTTCCAAATTGACAGGATAAACAGGATTGTATTTGAGGCCATCTTTGTAAGACCTTGAGATCCATAACTCATGACCTTGGGGCAAATAACGTCTCCGGGTCAAACTCCAGATCGTTGTTGGAAGTTTTCTCATTCCTCCTTATGCAATCACTTTTAACCTCCACGTCCTTACTAAGCCAAATGCCAAGGAGGCTCATTTTAGGTCAATGACCGTTTTTGACTCTCACAAGCTCACGTCAACATAAACCTAGGGGTTTGAATTTCAATGAGCTTCAAGGGATTATGCTAGGCGGCTCGCTCCTAAAAAAAGGTTTGATCGGGTGATTCTAGGTGGGTTACCCTTTTTGACCCTTGTGAAGTTGAAATAACACATTGGTCGACCCCACTGTGGTCAAGAAATTCCAAGTGAGCGTCAGAGACCACCCCACAAAGCAAGGTCCTTGGTCAAAAGCAAGTTGGATTTGACATCAACTTAGCCTTTATACCTGGCCCAAGGTGAGTGGAATTAGCAGCAATCCAAAATTAAACCCTTAAATTGTAAACGATACCGCCACAAGAACGCATGGCCTACTTCAACACTCCGTCGTCGCGTAAGATTGAACGTAAAATAAGATAAGAATACGATTGAACGATTCCCTATGAACTGTCTTCGCGACAGCCATGGTCTATCTTTGATCTGTCATAGGCCAGCGACCCAAGAACGTTTTTCTACCTTTTTAACGCCAAACGATCGGCTATTTAATTGGCTATAGCTGGTCGAAGTAACGCGTGGCTACGCCGCACCGTGCGGAAGCTTTTGTGGAAAAACGTTCGGAGATCATCTTCTTCGCAAGATGAGCGCGTGTTAAACAACGTCGCTTGCAAACGTCTTTTCCGGGCCCGAGCAGCATTCCCAGCCTTCATGCGGCGCCAGATACCGGGCTTATCGTGCAGAGCAAACATTTATACTGGGTGGCTCCACCAAACAGCGGCCTGGTGATTCGGTACGTGCAATGGTGCTCACTCTGTGGGGAAATCGACGCTCGTGCAGGCGAGACCGTGTGCGATGGTTCCACGGCCTGTGAAGTGCTACAGCAAAAGCTTCCGATAAGACTGTCACGATAGTGCTTCCGCTACCAATGCTCATACACAACATTTGTGTTGCATGACAGAGCGTATGCTCCACAAACTTGTACCCGTCGTTACTTCTAACGTAGAACTTACGCAGTTGTTACTTATGCATGATACTGATCCTTCTACAACGACGTACACGCGACGTAAGTGCTGTAGATGAATAACACACTAAAAGCCTACATCCAGAATTAGTTATGCAGCAAAAACTATTACAGTCATTACTGACACACAACATGTCCTACTGCAATGACCACTGCAGTCCTACCTAGTCCTGCTCCAATGACTTCCATGCAACGTCAGTGCCACACGATAAAATTCCTGCTTAAAAAACTGACGGCCGTCATTACTTATGCTGCAAAACCCTACGCAGTCTGTACGTATACGGAATATTGCTTCTACTTCCATAACCACATTTGGAGTCCGAAATGCGTGGACATCTAGCAGAAATATAGGAGTAATTTGCAGGTTTCAAGTGAACCTCCACTGAGCAACGCTGCTAGTAAAAGCTCGTGGTGTCCATTAAAAATTACTAATTGAATACGTTGCCTTTTTTGCGGATTTGTCGTGCATGGCGCATGAGTAAAGGTTGTCGTTTTAGTGGCAGAATCCCAATGTCAGGTATAAGCGTTTGGACATTAGTTTTCCAGTGTAGCACTTAAGCCTGAAATAAGTCACTGCAGAAGAAATATTGCTGCGCTTTTGTGAGCATCAAAGGGCGTGTGTTTAATGTCAAGTCGTGGAGGTGGAGCTTAACATTCAGTAATATACCATATCTTCCCTTCATCTGCGATTGTAAGCTGCCACGTTTGGGCAAGCCACACGCTCTATGTATGTTGAGGCGGGTTAGCTACTTTTCCCTGCCTGTTCCTCAAGCGTGTTTTACCACATTACGACGCAGAACTCCTGCCACCATGAATCAGTTGACTGCAACATTTGCAGCAGCGCTAATATACCAACAGCGTTAGGCTGATTTCACCTGTCCACGTGCTCCCATATGTTCACTCCTTCCATATTTTCGTTTCTTTGGCGAGGCTTGGTTTATGTGCACACGCCCTGACGGGCATATTTTGTGAAGCATGCCTGTGTCGTACAGTGCAAATGTTGTGCATAAGTAATGACACTATAAGTAATATCTTTTATAAGAATACACAAGAAGGGTTTTTGCAGTGGACATAAAGAGGGTATAGGATTTTTAAGTGAGAAGTTTTCTCGTGAAACACTTACGTCACGCGCAACTCCTAGCAATAGAAGCAGCGCGATGATGATGATGATGATGATGATATGGGCTTTAGGGCGCGCCGACTGGGTAGGTCACATGACACCCATTTTAGGTAATGCCACGTACATGTAAGTACTGTATAGGCTTTTACTGCAGAAGTAGTGACGGGCATAACCCTTTACAGTTAAAGTTTGGTCGTGAAGCAATCGTGCTGTGTCTGAGCTATTGCAGTGCAGGCAAGGTCGCGAAAAGTTGAGACTGTAGAAGTCTTCGCTACATAAGTAATGCCAGGTATATGTTTTCTACGGGATAAGTTTTGCCGTATAGTACTCGTGTTGTGTATGAGTTTTTGCAGCACATGTAATGTCACGTATAAGTAAAAACTGTATTAGTGTTGCTGTGGAAGCAATAACAGGTATACGTTTTTGTAGAGTAAATTTTAGCATGTAGCATTCACATCGTGAATTATTTTTTTGCGGTAGAAGCAAGGCTGCTGTCAGTGGAGACTGTGCTGATATTATCTGTGCAGAAACTTGGGATGGCTCGCTTAGCGTGGTATCGGACTGTAGCGCCCTCGACAGAACTCGCCGTGACTTGGCTGAGGGCGGTGGGTGGTTTACCTTCGCTCGGGCCACGGTCGTTTGCGCCTGACTCGCGCGTTAAGACCCGCTAGGGCTCACCGCTGAGAACGTCAGAAGTCACCGCTGAGGACACCAGGACTCACCGCTGGGGACACCAGGACTCACCGCTGAGGATGCAAGGACTCAACGCTGAGGACACTAGGACTCGCTGCTGAAGACAATAGGACTCATCGCTGAGGACAATAGGACTCATCGCTGAGGACACCATGACTCACCGCTGAGAACACAATGACTCACCGCTGGGGACACTAAGACTCATCGCTGAAGACACCAGGAATCGCCGCTGAGGACACCAGGACTCACCGCTGAGGGCATTGGGACTCGCCGCTGAGGACACCAGGACTCACCGCTGAGGACACCAGGACTCGCCGCTGAGGACACCAGGACTCACCGCTGTCAGCGCCGGCGTCAGGAAGGTCCAGCAGATGCGCAGCCAGGGCCCCAGTCGGGAGCCCGTCATCATCTGTATGTTGTCGTAGAACCGGCCGCAGCCGTACACCCAAGCGACGGCGACGCACTCGAAGAAGCAGAACCACAGCAGCACCATGCCCGAGGCGGAGTAGTAGTCGAACAGGGTGAAGACGTAGACGCCGCCCTGTGACGCAGCGGGTCAGCGCCATGCGGCTCAGACGACAGCCTTGGTTAGAGGCACGTTCGGACGCTGCAGCCCGTGACGCTAAAGCATCCGCGCTGGCGGCGACCCCCTGATGTTAGTCACTACGATATGTCTGAGTCACCATCACGGAACATCGCCGCACGCAACAGCAGCCACACAGCAGCGTTCTCATTTATGTCGGGATTTGCTTAGGGGAGGGAGCAATGATGTCCTCAACGAGCTCGCACAGTCGCCAGATTTAGTTACGGCAGCTTTGTCAGAGAGTGGTTTTGCTCGTTCTCAGCCCGATGCACAATGTCTGCGCGTCCTGCAAGAAGCCAACAACTTCGAAACCCGTACAGGGTGGTAATATTCTTCACTACATTGCAGGTAGTGTTCTTCACAATATATCAGGTAGTGTTCTTTACCACATATCAGATAGTGCCTTTGACGATAGTCACGTATGGCTGCGGCGAGAGAAGCGATGTGTCCTCAGTGCGAGCGGCACAGACAGCTGGTCAGCTTACATTGGTAACCAGGAACAGGCCAATAAGGAAGCTGACTGCTGACGTCGCCAGTATAAACAGCTCCCGGCGCCTGCCGACCCTGAAGCGGAGCGTGGAGAGGTGTTGCAGATAGATGAAATGGGAGGCGCCGTGGCGACCTCGACATGCAGCATGCTCGCTTGGTGAAATGAAGTGGGAATGAATGCAAAAACTCCATCGAACGCAAAGCTACGACTCGAGTTCAATATGACGAAAAGGACAATAGCCAAAAGTCCCACGACATATGAAAATAGGGCCAAAACAAGTGTTTGGCAGAAGGCGCTAGGGTTACCAGACGACAAGGTGGCAACTGAATTTGACGCTGATTTCCCGGTTTTGTTTGCATTTGTAGTTAAAACACTTTTGGTTGCTGGTGTTTTATAATCAGCAATGAACAAAGCGCAATAAATTACGCAATTTGTTCGGTGCATTAGCGAGGAACATCAGTCACATAGATAACACAGTAGTATCATCCTTATTCCTCGGAAAAACCAGGAGAATAGAGATATGGTTGGGTTGATATTTCAGCAACGTGCCTTTCTTGAAACAATGACAGAATACCTAACTAAATCTCTATTCTCCTGGTTTTTCCAAGACACAAGTCTGATAAAACGCAATAAAGTCAATAACAGCGTCATAGGTGATTACTAAGCTAGACCAAATATTGTAACCAAATGCCGCCAAAGCCTCAACCCGTGTAGTCTCTGGCAGCTGTTTTAATTATAACATTCTTTTCATTTCAATTTAGCAGTCCTCGGATAGCAAGCGTAAATCGACTTGTAGATCAGCATTCATGGCAAAAGTCAGGGAGGTCATACCCATCTGCCAGAGAGACAGATCTGGGGTCAGATATGTACACACATATCTGACGCAGATATACACACATATGCGGCGTCAGATTCGCCCATCATCAACGTCCGCTATCACCAAATAGGCGTTCACTTGGGTGAGCAGACTTCCATCGCGGAGGCAAACGAGCTCAGCGCACGCTGTAGTCGGCATCTGAGACGGACCCAGATCCACTGACGGCGCTCAGGTCTACCGGCTACTGGCTGACGTGGAACACACACCAGCACGCTCAGGTCTGCCAGCTACTGGCTGACGTGGAACGCACACCAGCACGCTCAGGTCTACCGGCTACTGGCTGACGTGGAACACACACCAGCACGCTCAGGTCTGCCGGCTACTGGCTGACGTGGAACACACACCAGCACGCTCAGGCCTGCCGGTTTCTGGCTGACGTGGAACACACACCAGCACGCTCAGGTCTGCCGGCTACTGGATGACGTGGAACACACACCAGCACGCTCAGGTCTGCTGGCTACTGGCTGACGTGGAACACACACACCAGCACAGTCGACATTGGCCTGCTCTGTCCAGCGCCGGCTCTGGCTTCGCATGGCCGTAATTACGCCATGAGCGCATGCTTCGATTCACAATCACGGCTGCATGGCATGTGATAGAAGCCATGTGGCAAATACGTATACCACGCTGACGAGCGTTTCCCAGACCGTCCGGGAGATCTTGCCAGATCACAGCACGCCTCCCAGGCAGCCCAGGAGACCTCGCCAGATCACAACACGCCTCCCAGGCAGTCCGGGAGACCCCGCCGGAGCACAACACGCCTCCCAGGCAGCTTGGGAGACCTCACCAGAGCACGGCACGCCTCCCAGACCGCCCGGGAGATCTCGCCCGAGCACAACACGCCTTTCAGGCCGCCCGGAAGACCTCGTCAGGGCACGGCACGCCTCCCAGGCAGCCCGGGAGACCCCGCCAGGGCACAACACGCCTCCCAGGCAGCCCGGGAGACCCCGCCAGGGCACAACACGCCTCCCAGGCAGCCCGGGAGTTCTTGCCAGAGCACAACACGCCTCCCAGGCAGCCCGGGAGTTCTCGCCAGATCACAACACGCCTCCCAGGCAGCCCAGGAGACCTCGCCAGATCACAACACGCCTTTCAGGCCGCCCGGAAGACCTCGTCAGAGCACGGCACGCCTCCCAGACCGCTCGGGAGATCCCGCCAGAGCACATCACGCCTCCCAGGCAGTCCGGGAGACCTCGTCAGATCACAACACGCCTCCCAGGCAGCCCGGGAGACCTCGTCAGATCGCGACAGTGTCGCCCGATGACCGGTGGTGCGCCGGGAACACGCCAGCCCGGCGCGCCTACCTCAGGTATTGTGGAAACACGTCGACAATTGCGGTGACGAAGCCCTCGACGGCCACGAACTGCGAGTCCAGTCCCAGCGTGAGCAGCATGAAGAAGAACAGCACGGCCCAGAGCGGCGCCAGCGGCATCATTGATACGGCCTTGGGGTACGCGATGAAGGCCAGCCCGGGTCCTGCAGCAGCAGAGAAGGGGGCTTCAGGGGCTACAGAGGAGAAGAGGGGACGTCAGGAGCTGCAGCAGCAGATAAGGGGCGTCAGGAGCTGCAGCGACAGAAAATGGGGCATCAGGAGCCGCAGCAGCAGAGAAGGGGGCGTCAGCAGCTGCAGCGGCAGAGAAAGGGGGCGTCAGGGGCTGCAGCGACAGAAAATGGGGCATCAGGAGCTGCAGCGGCAGAAAAGAGAGTGCCAGGAGCTGCAGCGGTAAAGAAAGGGGCAACGGGAGGCGAGCAATGGGTTTCAGTTACGAAGATGAAAGTCAGGGACCACGTAAGGGACTTCTGGAGCAGAGAAGGGGCATCAGAGGCGGAGGTGGACGTCATGGGACATGTCAGGGACGTCGGTGGCAGAGTGATTAACATCAGGGGCAGAGGCGACGAGACCGTGCAAGGGATGTCAGGGCAGCGTAATGGGCATCGGGGACGGAAGTGGACCTTAAGGGGCGAGTAATGGGCCTCGGAGGCAGAAAAGGGACAAATCATAGATGTCACAGATGTCACAGGCAGGACGCCGGGGGCAGATCAAGGGGCGTCAGGGACAGAATACGGATTGTCAGGGACGGAGTTATGCATGTCGCGACTAGACTAAGTGAGATCAGGTACACCACACGTGGTGCTTGGGCAGGTTAAAGGACAACAGAAAACAAGAAAATGACGTCAGGGAAGTGTATTCGGACTTTCCGGGCACGTGGAGCATCACCATCATCAAAAGGAAGAGGACATCGGCGTACCAGGGCTGGATAAGGTTGCTGAAGAACACAGGCAGTGCTTGCCGTGGCAGAGCAATGCTGAGTGCTCGCCGGGAACAGAGCAAGAGGACATCAGATATGAGGCAATGAGACGTCAGTGGTCTACGCGCTCCTGGCAGACTTAACACGTGTCCCTGCCAGCGCCCGGAGCTGCTCAGAAATCTGATACATGTCCCTTCCAGGACCCAGAGTTGCTCGGAAATCTGATACATGTCCCTGTCAGCGCCCGGAGCTGCTCGGAAATCTATAACGTCCCTGCCAGCGCCCGGAACTGCTCAGAGATCTGACACATGTTTCTGCCAGTGCCCAGAGCTGCTCGGTGATCTGATGCATGTCCCTGCCAGCGCCCGGAGCTGCTCGGAGATCTGATACATATCCCTGCCAGCGCCCAGAGCTGCTCGGCGCTCCGGCTGGCGCATGGTGCCGGAGCGCCGAAATGAGCATGGCTTGTGCTCGGACTGGCGGCGGCCACATCTCAGGGACCTGTGTGCTCGGTGGCGTGTCGGGAGGACACGGATCGAGCACGGCCCGGACGCGTCCGCGTGCGGTGAACCTACCGGACTTGGCCACGGCGGCCACCGGCACTCCCTGCTCCTGGGCCATGAAGCCGAGCACACTGAAGACGACGAAACCTGCAACACGACCCCGGCTGACGTGACACGCAGGACGCGCCGCAGTCACAACGGAGGACACGGCGCCACCGTGACGTGCGTTCGAACAATGCTGAGGCGGGAGGTGACGCACAAAGATATAATGAGAACTGAAACACTCTCTTTTAAGTCTGCCAAAAATTACAACACAGCACAGGCATTTCGACATTTTGTTGCGGTAGATATTAATGATCGTTGAATGAACTTTTCAGCTGTTTTTTTTGGCGATTGACCCATAATTGTAGTTTTTGCGCGGTGACATTGACATTGACCTGTGTACAATGCACTCTGACTGCAATCAAGAACCAAGCCGTGTGCTAAAATGATTCCTTAATAAATGTAATTGACTTGACAAACGTGTGCAAGTATGGCGAAAGCATTCAATACATTTTTATCAACATCGTCCAATGAGGGCGTTGAAGCTATCAGAATTGTTTGTTGCGGTGAAAACTACGCCAAAAAACACACCTCTTTTCAATGGGATCCTTTGCCGTCGAAGAGCACATAAATGTACACTGTGGAGCGCATGTGCAGAGTGCTACATATAACACGTAGGACGGCACAGAACCACAAACCGGAAAACAAGCTGGTGAGGCTATTGACAACGGCCAGCAGCGTGCAGTCCTTGACGAAGTTGTTGTTGAACTTGTTGTAGGAACCAAGCGCAGTCATGGAGCCCAACGCTATGGCGTAGCTGAAGAATATCTGCGTCCCGGCGTCGATCCAGACCTGATGGCAGCATCCGCCATTTTCACTGCCGGTCACTGCTTGCATCCGTCCCTGATCATCGGCGGCCAGTGATCAATGTCGGTCTCGTGTTATGTTCTGATCGTTTCCCGTCACTAGTCGGTACCAACAACCGAATATGTCCGTCATTAATCACTAGCAGCCTATGATCGTCGTCTGCATATGATCATTGCCGATCACGAATTATTGCCGGTCTTGAATAATTGGCGGATGAAGGTAACAGCGTTCGTAATTGATCATCGGCCATAAGTCATCAGTGATCGTTGCCTCTCGCCGTCAATGATCGCTGACCGTTGTCGATTGGGCAATGATCGACAACCGGAGGTCTTCCAGTTCCATTAGAGAGCGTTACATAAAGCTCACGGCGTGGAAGAGCAGCAGTGAATGTGACGTCATCGACCCGCCTTTGAGCTCACCCGTGTGGTCACCGCCTACTTCAGTCGCCGAGTGAATTAAACGTATTGAGGCTTGCAACACAAGTCACATCAATATAAGATCGGGCGAAGGAGCGCATGCCACGTGCGCGCTGGTCAGTCCTATACATCGCCTTCCAATTCCCCTAGAGAGCATTCTATAAGCCCACGACGCGGAGGAGCAGCAGTAAATGGTCATCAATTGCGAGCTGGACTGACACTTCAAATGGAGTGATAGGTCACGAATGGTGTCTTTTTTAAGGACACGGCTGCCGTTTGCGCCGCTCGTTCCGCCTTTCCTGTCAAGCTGACTTATGACGAGCTATGGCCGCCGAGCGTCGAACGTGACTTTCTGAACGGACGCACTCACGCAGCACGAACTCTTAGCAATTTTGAATGGAAAACGTGTATGCCGAAGCTCCTCATAAGCGGGGAATGACCATGCCTCCAGCTTTGTATTGTCAAGCAGCAGGGGCTGGTTGCAAAGCCCTGCCTGTGTAGTGCTTTATGATGGTCTTGTTTCAATGAGCACCTGCGTTCGGGAGAGACAAACGAGTGAGAACTCTGATGGTTCAGCGCTTGCCTAACATCTTTTTGTTGTGGCATGTCTCCACCAAGTCATTTAGACAAGTTAAGAATCCACAGGTGCTACCCTCATCTGTGTTTACATTCATTTTGGATCTGTGTTTATATCTGTGATCCTCAGTTGATCCTCATCTGTGTTTATATGTATTTTGGATCTGTGTTTATATCTGTGATCCTCAGTTGATCCTCATCTGTTTATGTTTAAGTTTATATTAAGATAGAACGTGGTTTGATTCCTCAGGTTTAACCCGTCAGAGGGGACCAAGCGGTGTCAATCCGATCCTACGTCGTGTCACTGCCAACTGTCCCATGACCCGTCCCGGGACCAAATAGGGTTAATCCGATCCTGTGTCATGTCACTGCCAACTGTCCCATGACCCGTCAGGAGACCAAGCGGTGTCAATCCGATCCCGTGTCGTGTCACTGCCAACTGTCTTATGACCCGTCAGGGGACCAAGCGGTGTCAATCCGATCCTGTGTCATGTCACTGCCAACTGTCTTATGACCCGTCAGGGGACCAAGCGGTGTCAATCCGATCCTGTTGGCGCCGACGCCGACGCCTGCAACTCTGACAGCTACCTCGTTTTGCCGCCACTGTTTTGTCCTGCACACAGCAAGCAGGGCTCAGTGTCCTTGATTAGGGAAGACGTGCAGCTGCCATGTGACCAAGCATCGGAAGCACCTGTGACCCCACATCTTCGAACTTTTGGCCACGGCGCACATTGCATGCGGTCACTGCGTATTCGCCTTACTTGCGCACAACTTTAAAAACAGACGGCTGGATACGGGCGGATGGTTTAAAGCTGTTTCCAGCCTTACATCGAGCGGGAGACAAACGCGCGCCGCAGTCTGTGGATGAGACGGGAGCAGGCCGACGGAGACGGCGAAAACCGAGACGGTTTTCCACTTTGGAGTTTGAGCTTCGTTGTGTATTCTTTCATGTGGATGCGGTCATAAAGATCAGCCGTTTTAAGCTTGCCGTGATCACATCCTCCGGGGATACGATCACTGCTGGTGAGTACCCTGTTAATGGTATATAAGCTTGATCTGATATAACTTTTTTGTGTTCATGGGGTAAGTGTAAGTGCTAAAGAAGTAGAACAGCATCACGCCACATAATCGCTAACGGGTCACGTTCGCCTCCCTCGACTAGGCAGCCGGCCCTTGACTTTACTATGACGTGCCTAATCCCAGTCAGTAGCCGTTTTTCAATAGCCCTTTTCGGCACCCTACCTTTTCTCATTTCCACTACCTTTCATAACCTGGCAATATGTTGGCTCTGGCGGGGCCGCGGAACACAGACGCTGTCATCTCATCTCTTTAGCTGTGTAGTACCCTATATGTACCACACCTCCTATGAGGCAGTTTAGCAGCATTTGGATCAGGCGATAGCCTTTCACCAATTCATTGTGGTTTTCTGACCTTGTTAATAGAGAGTGGGCGCTTATGTTTAATTTTCAAACGATAACTTCACAGACCGTGTGTGGAGAGCACGGAGCTTTTACCGCCCGGCTGGACAGCACGTGTGCTCTTACCGCCCGGCTAAAGAGCACGGACGCTCTTACCTCCCGGCTGGAGAGCACGTGGACACTTATCGCCCGGCTGGAGTGCACGGGGCTCTTACCACCCGGCTGGAGAGCACAGGTGCTGTCACCGCCCGGCTGGAGAGCACGGGGCTCTTACCACCCGGCTGGAGAGCACACGTACTGTCACCGCCCGGCTGGAGAGCATGGGGCTTTTACCGCTCGGCTGGAGAGCACGAGTGCTCTTATTGCCCGGCTGGAGAGCACGGATGCTCTCACCGCCCGGCTGTAGAATACGGGGCCTTAACCGCCCGGATTGAGAGCACGGATGCCCTTACCGCCCGACTGCAGAGCACGGGTGCACTTTCCGCCCGGCTGGAGAGCACAGATGCCCTCACCGCTCGGTAGAAAACAAACGTCAGACACCCATCACACCGTTTAGGCACGCTGGTATGCTATTCGGATGTCATATAAGTCTCGTAATCCGCCTAGTTTTAGCCTGAGCCTGCCTCACGAGCTGAGAGGTGTGAAAGAGGTATTAACTAACTACTAACCACCTAACCACGAGATAGCTATCTTCTAACTGATGACTACGGCCAAAGAGATGACCCTGTCTTTACATACATGTCCGTTTTTGAACAGTTTGCTCAGCTCTGTGGGCTTGTTTGCTCAGCTATGTGGGTGGACGTTATTGGTAGTTGATTAGACGGATCAGTTCGGGACCAGTTGACCAGGAATGAAGTTCGTGAGTATTTCTCCCAGCATATTGGCCAGTATCGAACAATGGTCATGGCTTAAAAAATACGCAATAAGGCGTGTGAGTTAAAATCGTGAAAAGCGCTCCATTTAGCGCATTCGAAATAATGTTTGACCCGGTATGACCTAACCTACCTACATTCACTGGAATGCGTTGGCATTTAACGCAGCTTAACGCTTAACGCTTATCTTCTACAAACAAACACCAGCAGACGTCAGCACGTGAAAAGCGGCTGCTGACCTCAGCAGAGGTCATAACTCGCGACGTGCGAAAACGTTTGTTTCATAGAGCACATGAAATGCTGTAAATTTGTCACTGTAAACGTCATCATCGTGTGTTCACTGCTTCAAAACTTATTCCAAAGAGCAGTTGGAATAACTTTTCCTGGCGAGTCTCCAGCACAGAGGATTGACCCCCCCCCCCCTTTCTACCTCCCCCCCCCCTACGGACGAATGAGTATGTAAGCATGACACGAGTACGTGATAGCAATGAAGTAATCTGACGCAAACCACTCCTGTCACCTGAAAATGTGTGCAAAAATGTAGCATCACGTTTTTCGAGTTCACAACACATTTTTCAAGGAAAAAATTACAAAACATCACATTTTTAAAACGATTAGAAGGGTTCAACCTAAAATTGATCCCGAAAAAACATAACAGAGTTTTAGAACTCCTAGAAAAAACACGAATCTACGCTTTTGATCGACTTCAGAAGATCCTTGGGCGCAGCATGATGCCGCTGCTGCTGCCAAACCTGTGCCTCGACTAGCTTGCTGAAGTCGGGGGTGAGGTAGTAGATGATGCCAAGTCCTGCGCCAGGCAACGTCGCTCCGCGAACCAGCAACACGGCCAGCATGATGTACGGAAAGGTAGCTGGAGGAAGAGCGGGTGAGAGCTGAGCTGGCGTCTCATGCACAGGGTGTACTGTTGCGCTGGTGTGACGCCAGACCAAGTACGGTGGAGGACGGTGCAAAAATCGTGGTGCTGAGCAAAAAAGGACAGCGCCCAATGGCGCACTGAGTTGTGCACAAGATCACGATTGCAGCAGCGTTAAATTCACACACGTTCCCGTGTTTTACATACAATTCAAACGGATGTCTCTGAGCGTGCCGGCGGCTGCCATCCATGAGTGCGAGCACTGTCCGCGAAACACCACACTGCCTCTCGGGCGCCCGCGCGGGAGCGGTGCGGCAAGCAGCCTGGACATCACGCGTTACCCGACTACGATGGAAAGCTTTTCGTTGTACAACGGTCGCCGTTGTCTACAGGCCGCTCAACCCAAGTAACAGATCGCTAGCAGCTCACCAGTGAAGTAGACCACCTTGCCGGAAGATTTGATACCCTTCCAGACGATGAAGTAGATCATGATCCAGGCGAGGAGCAGGGTCAGCACCAGCCTCCACTGTGGCACACCCACCTCATCGATTCCAGAGCTGACGCCAAGAATGTTGTTCCTGGGGGGGGGGGGGGGGGGGAAGGGGGTCAACTTTCACATGCAGGTCGGGAGCACGGCCGAGAGGATAAGTCCTTATGCGATAATAGCCAGGGGTCCAGGCAAACACTATATGACAACGAGTTCATCCATTCACCGACGTCCATTCCCATCAGGTCACGAGCCATCCCCCAGGTTACGAGACTAAGGCCATCCTCCTCAGGTTACGAAAAAGTCACGACTCACTCCTTGGGCCCAAAGAAACCCATAGGCTTTGACTGGGCCCATAACTGGCCGAATCGACACACAGAAAACGTAACAAAAGTGGACGTCTTTGGGCCTACAAGCGACCAGAAACAGCTAAAAGCAACAGTGAACGACCAATGAATATACGTTGCTATACGCTGAGTGAGAGGGTGGTATTGGGGATGTTTTAAGTCTCATCGCGTTGCTCATAGACCTTATACTGTTGCCGATGACACTACATGGCCACTTGCCAGGTCAGTCCGATCGCCAAGGGGCCTTCTACATCACCCCTGTTGGCACCTCAGCGGAAGGCCGTATGCTGTTGTTGGAGTCCCATGTGCTAGTATGCCGGGGTACTCTGAATCGATCAGGGGCCCTCCACGAATTCTAATCCTTTACATGAAAGGCTTTATAAGTTATTGCCGGGAGGTCATATGCTGACCTGCCGGGGTGCTCCCGATTGCTTGAAGTGCGTTAACATTCGTCTCCGGTTCTTTCCACTTGCCCGGTGTGCCCGTGCTCTCGCTGGGGGCATCTAAGTTAACGTACCGAAGCACTTGATGCCCAAGGGCCCTGGACATTGTTCTAGAGCACTTTTCAGTTGACCTCACCCGCGGAGGACCATAAACTCTTGTCTGGGTCCTTTATGTTAAACTGCCCGGGCACTCTTTATCGCGCAGGGGCCAGCTACCATGGTTTAAGTCATTTCATATTTGCTCGGAAGACCCTGTGCTGTTGTCGGAGGCCCTAACATCCATCTACCAATGAACTCTCAACTGATCAGAGGCATTCATCCATGTACATTGGTTTTGGGTTCTTTCCGTTTGCTCCGAGGGCCCTGCGCTCTGGTCGGGAGCCTCATATGTTAACCTACCGTTGCACTCCTATCGTTCAGAGGCCAACAAATTGGTCGTGGGTTCTTCTTGTTTGTTCGGAGGGCCCTACACTGTTGGCTGAAGCTTCTCGGTTGACCTGTGGTGGTAGCCTCGACCGCTCAGCTGGCGTCCGCACTGCTCTTCATTGATTGATCATTGATCTTTGGTTCTCCCATTTTATTCGAGCGGTTCCGCTATCGATGAGGATCTAAATATTCATCAGCTTGGGCCTCTTGATCGCTACGGGCTCTCCACATTGGTCTTGGGCTGCTTTCATAAAGTCAGAAGTACCTTTCTCTGTTGCCAAAAGCCTCACCAATGCCTGGGGCGTTAGCACTTCTGTTCTGCATGGTGTTTCGCATACTCGTGTATGCGGTCCTGGCTAAATTTATTCATTTACACAGATTGGAGATCTACACGATGACCACTTTCCTTGTCGCCATTTCAGTGGTAGCATATTCTATCCTCCTTCATTATAGCCAAAACAAAAACTGTGCATTAGACATAAGCCACCAGCTGACCACACCGACTAGCCGACCAGTCACCGCAAACCGGCTGTCTGTAACTAACCTTGAAGTAAAGTGCTTCAGTTAGATAGTATTTGGCATCCAACATCATCTCACTCGGCCACATTCTCCGAAATATCTTATTTCAAAACAGCAGAACCCACCATGATCTGGAGCAGCTGAATGCACTTGATACACGTACACGCATGGGATGCCTTGTTTTCTTTGGCTGCGCAAGTGAAGATGGTTTTCTATACAAATAAAAGCATTATAAGAATCTTAAAACTTCATGGTCAGAAGCCGAGGATTTTTGGGGGAGAGTGGGCCCCAAACCCCACATGGGCTACAATGCTGCGTGCCTCGTCCCCTCTCCGTTCGTGAAATTCTGGATCCGCCACTGCTGTTTGCGCACTTCACCGTAGAAGCGTAGACATCGCAGTGCGGTTAGGCACATATAGACCGTGCCGCGGTCGTGCCGAGCCATGGTCTAAACGCTGAAGTCGACACAGGCTCAGACGGGCCGCATTTGTTCAAAGTCGACGGAACTCACCGGCAGACTTACAAACTCGATGGTGCTCACCGGCAGACTTACTCCGTGATTTACTTACTTACAGACTTTCTTACCCAGTCGATTGCTTCCTTTCAAATAGTCGGCAACCCCCTTGCAAACACCCTGCCGGAGCTGTCCACCCAAGATATCCAGAGACAGATATCCCTCAGACTCCAGACAGACTTCAGACTGCCGGAGCTATCCGTCCAAGATATCCAGAGGCAGATATCCTCAGACTCCAGACAGACACCAGGCTGCTGGAGCTATCCGTCCAAGACATCCAGGGACAGATGTCCTCAGACTCCAGGCAGACATTCGGCATCCAGAAAACGCATCTACAGGTCATTTGCGGAGCACTCACTCCAGAAACTAGTGGCATCCAGCCTGCAACACTCTCACCCGACACTCGTGATACTCACTCCCAGAACTCCACCACGGGATCTGTGGCGCCTTCGGCCACGTCGGTGGCGTTGGTGCCGTTGACGCCCCTGCTGAAGGTGGAGCAGAGCGGCGTGTTCCACGCGTTGTGGCACGTCGCCCAGGGCAGAGGCGACTGGAACGAGTAGAACATGTAGAGCAGGCCCCAGGCCAGGATCACGATGTAGTAGATGTTGAGGAGGAACGAGATGACCGTCGTGCCGTAGCCGATACCTGCCGGAACGGCTCAGGACCTCAGAGGGAGTGGGACACAGGTGACGTGGGCGGCCCTCAGAGACAGCGGGACACAGGTGACGTGGGCGAGCCCTCAGAGGGAGGGGGACACAAGTAGCTTGCGTGGGCCACCAGAGAGACCGGAGAGCTAAATGACTTTTCTGCTGCATGGCTTATGTCGTCGCGGAGCAATTGTAAAAAAATGCATAAGTTTGTGAAGGTGTTTTCGTGGAATTGCGGTTTTCACACTTAAGCATGCCGAGGCTTGAAACGCTCCGCAAAAAAGGCAGTGTAAAGTGGGCTACACATTTCCAGCGCACGAGGCGTGTGGCGGCTCCACTCACCTGTGAACACTGGGCAGAGCTTCCAGACCGAGATACCGCCCTCGCCCATGAACTGGCCGATGCCCACCTCCAGGAAGAACATGGGCACGCCGCCAGTTACCAGGCAGGTCAGGTAGGGAATGAGGAAGGCACCTGCAACAGGGAGCCAGCCGGTCAACAGCAGGTAGCCTGAGGTCAGCTGAGGTCAGCCTGAGGTCAGCCTGAGGTCAGCCTGAAGGTCAGCCTGAGGTCAGCCTGAAGTCAGCCTGAGGTCAACCGCCGGTCAGCCGCCGGTCAGCCTGAGGTCAGCCTGAGGTCAGCCGCAGGTCAGCCACTGGCGGGAACACGCGGACGCAGAGCGGGACAGGCAGATGCGTGAGGGACCGTGGGAGCCGGCTGAAAATGGCCGGTGGACGGCATCGTTTGCGCTGCTCCGAAACCAAACCGACTATTCCGGATACATGGAGACAATCGTTCTACGGCAAAGGAGGCGGTTGCCGCGTACCAGTATCAGTTACCTCGCATAGAGAAGTTGACGTGAAAGATGTTGCAGGCCATAATCTCAAATACACTGACTTGAAATATGCTAGATCCCGCTAGATCCCGTTAGATGAAACGCCCAGACAGTACCTCACTGCGACCACCTACCGGGCTTCTGAGCCAACCAGTCTAATTTTGGGAACTCTTGGGCCGTGAGATCAATTTTCGCTAAATCTTCAGACGGTTCTGGCCGGCGTACTCGGCGTCGGTGGTTTCCTAGACGACTTGGCGTGTCGGGGGTAGACGTTGACTCACAACACAGCGCTGAGGACCGTCCCAAGCCCACAACACATTGCTGAGGGCTGTCCCAAGCCCACAACACAACGCTGAAGCCCACAACACAGCGCCGAGGGCTGTCCCAAGCCGCCCGCAAGCTCCTGGCCTTCGCATTAATCTGGATAAATGCTAGTGTGATTTGAATGAAGTGACTTATATGGATTACAAGGTCAGCTCCAGGGGAGCGAAGACCACGAAGGACAACGCGCCGGCCATTCTGAGGCCTTCTGAGCCAAACGTGAGTAAGCTCCGGTCTTAGCTGGGCTTGATAATTACTATGGGTTTCTCAAGCACCTGTCATCGATCCTGGCGTCGCTGTGTGTGCCGTTGTGCCGGAATGAGCACTGGCCTAACCGTGGTGCTGAGCGATCCGCGCTCGAGAGAGGCAGCGCTCGCTGTTAAATCCTCTGATTTGGCACACCGTGACCATGACTTTAGGGTGTGGTTGTCAGCGGCTGTCCATTGCCGAGAGGTGCGACATCAGTCAAATAACGTCAGACGGTGAGATGCCGGTGGCTTTCTTTACTCGCACACTTGACGACACAGAACGACGTTACTCACAAACAGGCCGAGAGGTGTTGGCAGTGGGATCCGATGTAAAAATGTGCCTCTACTTGGCTGGTAGGCCATTTCGGGTGCAGACCGGTCATAAGCCTATACTGGGGTTGATTGGTGAGCAACAGCCGCTTCCGCTGAGGGGGTCGCTGAGAGCGGTGCGCTGGGCCATGCTGCGTCGCTGAGAACGGTACACTGGGGCCTGCTGAGTCGCTGGGAGCGGTGTGCTGGGCCCTGCTGCGTCGCTGAGAGCGGTGCGCTACTCCCCATCCCCGCCGGACCCTGCTGCTTTTCGCCCACGACTGCCACCTTGAATACCATGTCGGGAAACTACAAGGCCATTGCGACACGTTGAGCTGACTGCCGCCAGCTGAGGGATCTGCTGACGTCAGCAGTCCTGTCCCACTTGAGGGGCCTGCTGACGTCAGCAGTCCTGTCCCTGCTGAGGAACCTGCTGAGAGGCCTGCTGACGTCAGCGGTTCTGTCCCACCTGAGGGGCCTGCTGACGTCAGCAGTCCTGTCCCGCCTTAGGGCCTGCTGAAAGGCCTTCTGACGTCAGCGATCCTGTCCCACCTGAGGGGTCTGCTGACGTCAGCAGTCCTGTCCCACCTTAGGGACCTGCTGAGAGGCTTGCTGATGTCAGCGGTCCTGTGCCGCCTGAGGGACTATGACTTAAACCGGAATCGAAAATTGCGGTGCTCGTTCGCATACTGGGGAATCCCGAAGATACGGACAATGTATAACGCTCAGTGATTTGTCTCTCCGGACCTTGAAATGTTTTGTTGGGTGAACGGCATTTGTCATCTTACCTCTCCCCCAGTTGCTCCCAATGCAAGCGGTTTGGTAGAGAGGTGCGTGCAGGCATTCAGACAAAGTTTCAGTAAGCGGGAAAGGGGGCCATTGATGCCCCAAGTCTCTCGCGTGTTATTCCATCATGGTACCGCCGTGGCCAGCACCAGGCACGCACTGCCAGCGGAGCCGATGCTCGGACGCCAGTTATGGACTCAGCTCGATGTCCTGCGGCCAGACCTGCGGGAGGCTGTCCGCACTGAGCAGGGCAAACAGAAACGGCACAGGGACCGCGTCTGTCGGTGCAGAGGATATGGCACTCTGCGTATAGATGACCCAGTTTACGTTTCTGCTGTCGGCCAGGTGCAGAGATCGAGCGGTAGAAAGTGACCCAAAGGCGAGCCTCTTGGTGAACACGATGCTAAGCTTGCTGTGCGTTTGGGTGATGCTCGGGTGTTGGTGTGACATTTCGATCGGGTACGCCCGCGTGTCAGTCCCGAGGACATAAGGCGGGTTATGTGACCCGATGCTATTCCCTACCTGCGCCCATGGCGGCGGCACCATGGAGACTAGGTACCTCGCGAAAAACAAACATTTTTTCGTTTTTTTTAGGTACCCCTGAAACTGGGAATTCGTCCATTGCAGAGACGTAGGTACCTAGGGGAGGCCATGGGGTCCATGGCCCCGACCCTGGGCCAAGAGGCTTACACAGAGTGCTGTTGGCGATTTCGGAACAAATTAGCACGTGGTCAGAGGAAATTTGGCACCCCTCCCTCCTGCGAACAAAAATATTCGCCGCGTATCTACGCTTGAAAATTTACATTAGCTTCGTCAGGAATGCGCCAGAATGCAGCAGACCATTGCCGGCCTCTCAGTGTCCACGGAATCCTCTCGGCACCACAGCCGCAGGCCGCATCCCAGGCCTGCATCCGCTTTGAGATGGCCAGCTGGCCGCTGCAATGGCGACGTCAGGAGCGTCCCGACACCGCTCGAAGCTGATGAGTCTCATCAGCAATATCCGCCCCATTTCCGGGGGAGGGAGGGAGGGGGGGAGTAGGCGGCGGGGAGTGACACCAGGGCACGAGCGCCGGGACTGGGGAACGTAAAGTGCGGAGTGCCTCCCTTCCAGCCTTCCAAAAATCTAACAATCGACCTGCAATCACGAACTATAAATCTAGCAATCGACCTGCAATCACGAAGTTTAAAAAAAACGATAGCCAGTGGCTATCGCACTGCCTTCGCCTTCTTCCCCCTCCGTCCAAGTCCGGCGAACGTACATCGGTTCTGCACCAGGCTGCGTACCAGAGTACGGTGAAACAAGACCCGCGGCGTCCGTGGGTCTTGTCCCCTGGTGATGCGTCTGTGGCCGTTTCCCTTCGTGCGCGGCTGTGATGCATCGTTCTAAGCGGCGGCGATGAGGCGGAGAACGCGTGGCGACACTGAGGGTCGCGGCGGCCTCGGCACCAGCTCGACCCGCCATTTGTGGCACCAGCTCGGCCCGCCATTTGTGGCACCAGCTCGGCCCGCCATTTGTGACACCAGCTCGGCCCGCCAATTGTGGCACCAGCTCGGCCCGCCATTTGTGGCACCAGCTCGGCCCGCCATTTGTAGCACCAGCTCGGCCCGCCAATTGTGGCACCAGCTCGGCCCGCCACCTGTGGCACCAGCTCGGCCCGCCATTTGTGGCACCAGCTCGGCCCGCCACCTGTGGCACCAGCTCAGCCCGCCACCTGTGGCACCAGCTCGGCTCGCCACCTGTGGCACCAGCTCGGCCCGCCACCTGTGGCACCAGCTCGGCCCGCCACCTGTGGCACCAGCTCGGCCCGCCACCTGTGGCACCAGCTCGGCTCGCCAACGCCACGCGAGAGCACGTCTCTTCAAACCGCATCTCTTGTCCTGAACTGCGCGCTACGCGGGTGCAGTGCTTCCCGGCCAGTCAAAGTGAGCTCGCCCACCCTCGACTGCACTTCTACCATGTGTAAACAAACAATACAGCCAATCCAAGGAAGCTCCCCACCCTCGACTGCACTCCTACCATATGTAAACAAGCAGTACAGCCAGTCCAAAGGAGCTCCCCCACCCTCGACTGCACTCCTACCATATGTAAACAAGCAGTAGAGCCAGTCCAAAGGAGCTCCCCAACCCTCTACTGCACTCCTACCATGTGTAAACAAGAAATACAGCCAGTCCAAAGGAGCTCCCCAACCCTCTACTGCACTCCTACCATGTGTAAACAAACAATACAGCCATCCAAGGAAGCTCCCCAACTTCGACAGCGCTCCTACTACGTTTAAGCAAGCAAGACAGCCAACCCAAGCAAGATATCTCACCCTCGACTACACAACTGCCACATTTAAACGGAGTGTTCCACATTTGCATGGGGTTTTATGGGGTTTTGACCTGATATAGCCATCTTGAACATCATTCGGTTCAGTTCGCAGTCCTGGCCTTCTTAAAACCAAAACCCCTCTAGTTTCTGAGCTACACGCCGGTAAATGTATGTAGCTTATTTAGGGGGGACTATTTATTGGTTACTCAGGCATCCATGACGCCATAGTGCCATTCAAATCCTGCCATTTCATAAGCCATACGGCGAGCAAGACCAATAAAAAATGTATATCAAAGCGTTCATATCTGACGTTCGTGAGCACGATTTCTATATCTATCTATCTATATATATATATATATATATATATATATATATATTTCTAGTGTATCTATGTATTATATCTATATATTATTTCTAGATATCACGGCTGCCAATCGGCTCTCAATCAATGTTGAGCAAGGTGTGATGACGTAATTAAACAACTACTTAATTGGAAACATATTTACTAAACAGAGAAGTGCCGTTGTCTAGAGCAGTCGTTTCCACTTAAATGTATACCAGTGTTTATAAGTGATTTATTTCATAATATTTGATGCTTGCTGCAATATCTTCAAATGTGGAACATTCTCTAAACAAACAGTGTAGCTAATCCAAGGAAGGGCATCCCGCCTGCGACTACACCCATACCATAGTAAGACAAAGCATGCTTGCCTCGAATGTGCGACATAAATGGCGTAGGGGGTCGGAACACTTTGTAAGCAAAAGCTGTTGTTTGTCCTTTGCACCCACCAACCAAATGGGCTTTCCTGTTCAGTCGCTGCCGTGAGCCCGGCCGTACGCCAGACAGGCTGCGGGGGGGGGGGGGGGAAGCAGTGTGCCCAACACGGCCGCTCCGGGCCAGGTGGGTCATCGCTGTTGTGGTGCCTCATCTGGCTTTTCCACGCCAGCCGGAGAAACTACTGCGCATGCGCCAGAACTCTGACCCGGCACCGCCACAGCGCGAGCCTAGCGTTGTCTCCAGACTATGAGAACCGCAGGCGATGGCAGGTACATACGTGTCAGTGCGCACACCGCCACAGGGGCGTGTACACATTACACCTCCGGGTCGACATCCCCCCCCCCCCTCCTTACCAAAACCGCCCCAGGGGCGAACACACATGGTACCTTCGGGAGGACGTCCCCCCTTCCCCCCCCCCCCCTCCAACCTGCTTACCAAAATGATGGCCCGTGTTGAACACGCGTTCGGGAGAGGGCCAATTTGTCCGCCCTCTAAACACTTTTTCAAAACGACTTCTTAACCACGCTGTGCAGCCACGCTAAAGCTGCCAAATGTGTAGGCAATTAAATGATCGATCTTTTGGTAAACAAAATTAGATCTACCTGCATGGCCGCTGACCTACGGCAGGTCAAAGTCAGGCCATGTCTATGCCAGGCGGAGAAGGTAATTCCCAGGGAATCCTTCCATGTGATACAACGGAGTGTTACATGAAGTCATGCAACTTTGACATGACCTGATATGAACACAAGCAGCAGTTCACTTAGCAGAGGTAACTAGGCTAAGGCTGAGGGCGTAGAGACATCTGATCACACTTCAGATACCCATCTGAAGTTTGGACATGTCTGACCTTATGTGGCTCGAGGGTTGCGACATAATGGCCCCCTAATTTAAGACAAGTGAATTTACATAAAGCCCGATCTTCCCTGTGAATCTATTGCCTATAGTTTTCTGTTTGTTTTGTTATCTTAGATAGGTCAAACTAACGCACCCAACCGAGCTTGTCGCATTTAATCGGCCACCTAGGCACGTGTCCATGCGTGCAAACGTGAATAAATGTTGACACGGGGAAGTTCCAGGTAGACTCGTAAAATAAGACGATTAAGATCATGCCATGCTGTTTCATGACACGCCACAAATATTGCAACCACCGCCGCCCCGAGGTAATACGTGCCAGCAGAGATTGCAAAGGCTGCGGTGGTCTACAGCTAGTTGTGGATGCTAACAATTCAGCGTGCATACGCCAAACTTCCACTCGTCGTCGCCATTGAGGCCTTATGGCGCACCAAGCCCCGGCGCTGGAGGGCGTTGCCCGCCGCCGATGTCAGGAAGGGAGCACACCGCGAGGCATCGGTGCCCATGCTCATGCTTCCCCGGACGCGCCGCTTAACCGCTACACCGGCCGCACCCGTCTAAAAATCTTCATTAATGTATACCATGCAGGACACCCCCCCCCCCCCCCCCCCCCCCCCTGGCCAGCCGCGGATCTCCAGCGCCGTTCCTCGCCATTCAGCTGGGTATCTGCCGCCGCTGACGTCCACAGCAAACGAGCCTTTCTTGAGCCGCGCTGGGTGCTGGTGTTAGTAGCGTTGGTGCTTATCATGCTGCTGAGATTACCCTTGTATGAGACACAAACTGGAACCGAATGCCGAGCAATATCAAAAGCCGCGATCCACTCATCCTTGGTTTGCTTGAAGTTGGTGCAAAAAAGCGGCATAGTACAAAAAAGAAGAAGAGATGCCCAAATCAGCGCACAAAAACTGTTCTTGTGTCTTTCATTTTATCATGTGATGCAGAACAAATCTAGGTTATCTAGTCAATACCGTAGTGCGCGAAATCTAGTAGCAGTAGTGTCTAGTCAATAACGTAGTGTACGAAATCGCATGCAGGCTTTGAGAAACAAAAGGCTTAGTCGAGTTTTTAAGCAGGTGTCAGCGAGATGGTGAGGAGAGTGTGAGCTTACACGCGTTTGGAGATGTGTTTGGATGAAAGAGGAAAAGCTTGCGATGCGTGGCTGGCTTGAGGATGAAAGCTCGTTGTTAATTTTGGATTGTATAATATTCTAAAGGCTCATTGGCACGCAGTTCATCACGTTTGTTCTTACTACCATGTTTACAACCATTCCAAACAACTTCCGCGTCCTGAAAAGTAAGACAAAGCTGAAAATCTTACCGCGATCGTTCTTGCAGCAGAGCTAGGAAAACAGCCGTCTTACCTCCGCCGTTCTTGTAGCAGAGGTAGGGGAAGCGCCAAACGTTGCCCAGGCCGACGCAGAAGCCCATCACAGAGAGCACGAACTCGGCGTTGTTCGCCCACGTCTCGCGCTGCCGGTATTCAGGTCCGCCAGCCTCTTCTTGCGGTGCGGATTTTTGGGGCGATGCCTGAGTCCCCCAGAAGGGCGGTGACGTCACTGGATCACGGTCCAGCATGGCGGCGGCTCTGTTCCCAGCTCTGGGGAAGGGGCGAGGGGTCACGCGGTAGCCGGACAGCGACTCAGAAGGGCTGCGCCGAAGGCCATGGTGGTGCTGGTGGTGGTGTTAGTGGTGGTGCTGGTGGTGGTGTTAGTGGTGGTGCTGGTGGGGTTCTGGTCAGCTCCTGTTCGGCGTGTGACTCCAGACCATGCAGTTCCTCCACACGGCCGTGGAAGGTGCATTTGTAAACGTCTGTAAGCAAATCGTACGCTGGCAGCTCTACTCGTAACACATGCCTGCGGACGATATCACGTCACTGGTGCGCGCGGCGAGTGACGCAACAGGAGCATTACCTCATCACATGGAAATAGAGTGATATGATTTGATAGGCAAATGTTTGCTCTGCGCTTTTAAGCGAATTCCATAACATCCCACTCAGCATTATCCTGATGGCCTCGAGTGCCTGTGATATGCGACAAAACACATGTGCGACAAGAAATGATTCCGGAGATGGAACTATTGGTCGGCTTTTGAGCCACGCTTTAGCTAAGCCCAAACGCTTCATAATCGCATCGCAAACGAAATGCGAAACCGACCGTGGCGATCACTTTAATGCTGGGCTACCAGGTGACGTAGCCAAGGTCTCGCACAGGATGGGGCCATATCGGGCAATATGGACCCTTTGCAGCAAATGAGGCCCTCTTTGCCGGTATGGCTGGCCTTTAGTGGGATCTGGAGCACATCACTAGGTACAAGCCTCGATAGCTGAGCTGGTCAGAGGGCCTGCCTTCCGATCCACCCACTCGTGGCGGGGTGGGTCCGAGTCATTTATGTTACAGATATAGTTTGTGGCCGGTGGCAGCAGCCGCACTTAAGGTCATGTGACGTCAGAGAGCAGGGCGAGCCATGCCAAGCATTACGGCAAGATAGACCTTCGCCATCAAATTCTGCCGTTGACCTGAGCTTGCACGATCGGACTGCAGGGGTCAGGGGTCAGGGCTCGGTCGGAGTCAGGGTTACTCCGGATAAAGTCTCAAAAACAAGAGCCCATTGTTGTAGTTTTACAAAGGGATTGCCATTGGTCAATCCTTTAGATTTCAGGTAAGATTTGGTTTTGCTGCCTCTGGGACCATTTGTATTTTTTACGGGGCTACGGACATCTGAAACATACAAAAATAACGAACAATGCATTTACGGAAATCCTCGGTCTTAGTCAGTCCGCCCGCATTCCAGGGGGCATGTTACCAAAAACTCCTACTTGTTTGTTGTTTTTGTTGTTATTTTCGCTTTCGGTAGAAAGTCAGTCAGCGATACGAATGCAATGAATAATTGACACCAACCAACCATACTTAGAAGAGCCGTCGCAAAATGACAAGACCAACTGAAACTGTACCTGCGGGCAACCTGTAGCTTGCTTCAGCGCAGTCTCAATTTGTGAGGCACTTCCAGAAGTGCTAAGGACGTTTTAAGCTATCAAAGAGCACTAACACTACACACTAGAACACTAGAACCTTCGGTCCCAGAGGTTCCACCATCACCAGGGAACGTGGTGGCTCCACAACCTCCCTGTTGGCTACGTTAGTGGGATTGTGTTAAAGATGTACTCCCGTCATTTTCGTTTCAGTACAAAAGTGACACGGCAGCAGTTGCACATAACCCCAACAGTCCCGCATATCCCCAGCAGTCGCACATAACAAGATGTTCTTTGCAGGCACGTGACGCTGTGGCTTAACGCCGTCCGATATCCACCATACCGCAGCGCCCACCTGAGTGTAATGACAGCGCTCTTCCAGCGCGTGCTACGAAGTGGGGCCAAAAACCGGCCCCGCACTGTATCAGTCATCAAACCACACGGAATAATACAACTTAGACAAAAAAAGCGTGGAACAAGTCACCAATAGCACCTCGAGACGAAAAGTGCCGAATGGATTTAACGCTTTTGGAATAACAAACATTTGGAAGGTGTAATTTGCAAATTGGGCAAACGGGAGCAAAAATATATGAAATGTTATGGGCAGCCAATATCACTCTGCCGTTTCGCAAATTGGTATGAACCGCATTTTGTTGAACGCTGTTTCTTTTCAAAACAACTTGATTCTGGAACATAAAATGTCGTTGGTAGAGCACGCTAGAAAATACTTATTTTCCAAACATGAGATGAAACCCTCATCGTATACACCGCCGCTCATTAACCGATGAGATTCGGTTGCTGTCCACTCACGATTTAGACGAGATGGACGATCCGTTGCCATTCATCCTCCGACTAAGCTACTGTCGTCGAGCTTAGTGATCATCAAGCTTACCTGACAGCAATGCATATTGTGGAAATTGGGGATTTCATGAAAGTCTGCGATATACATTGTTTATCCATGGTCATTTGTTTCTGTTCCTTCGATTTGAATGAGGGAATGCAGCGACGTGATCAGCGACTGGATTTCTTGGTTGTAGGTCGAAGTTAATTGATATTTCAAAGGTTAAAAAAAGAATCCACGTCTTCATTTTTTTGGTAATTTTAGACGGGCAGCTGGCTCATTCTTGGACTTTGGATTGTACTGTGGACACGAACGTCCAGAAAACAGCACCTCTGGTCGGGACACATGGTTGTAAAATATAGCGGAGACCTTAACTACATCCCGGAAGCCAAGCCGGGGCGCCGCTCCTGGGCCGCCACTGCCGTGTCGAACACGCCCTGCGTCCCACCTGTGACGATCGGCCGAGAGGGCGCGGTCGGCGACGGGCGGGTGCTGCCGCGCCTCGGCTGCCGCACGTGTCACGGACGGGCGCCTGGCCTGGCCTGGTGAGGGCTGTCTCCGCTGACCGGGCCGCTCCGGCGCCTCGCTCACCGCCACGTCACGCGGGATCGTCACCAGCGGGAAGCGGCCGCTGGGTGCGCCGGCTTCCCATTGGACCGGCCCTCCCAGCCCTCTCATTGCCCGGAGTGGTGAGGGGGGGGGGGGGGGCAGGAAGAGGCTGATGATGGAACCCAGAGCCCTGTCATAAGCAGCGGGGAGCGCCATGCCAGGGCCGGAAACAAGAGGCGTTTTTTGGGGTAGCGAGGGAGGGAGGCGTGGGTGGCTTGTAACCCGCCTTCTCTCGAGCTGTCCGCCTAATGAGGCGGCGGCAACCAGTCGGCCCGAGGGACCACTTCTGAGAGAGCTCCGGCACTCTGAGAAGTCCCAGAGCGCGAGGGCTCGCGCGGGGTGCACTGTTTCAGCCGTAGCTAAAGCTAAAGCGTGTGTCATCGTGACATCGCTGGCAGTTTCAGACCTACGTCAGTCTTGCCTATACCGTCCAGAATGCGTAAAAAGGTCGGGTACATGCAGCTTTTGTCCCACCTCGCTGCCCATGATCTTTGAGTTCGATGGCAGTACGCTCACAGACCTTACCACTCAACACAGGTCGCCCTAATGGATTCCGTTGGGTCAGCGGTATGTCGCATCGGCGTTTGGTGCGCTGTCGCCACCACCTCCATTGATCTAAGCCATGCATTTGGTAGGGTCGACCATGGCGCCCTTCTGACAAGGCTGCAGTGGTGCAGCATCGATCCGAAGTGCCTTGAGAGCTACCTCGCTGGTCGGCGGCAGGTGTTCAGAGGCGGCTCCTCGGTCGGCCCTATCCTCTTCAGCATCTTCACGAACGACCTAACGTCTTACCTCCCTCAAGGACGTCTAGAGTCCTATGCCGACAATACCCGACTGTTAGGCTCCGCTCACCCATGCTAACTATCCGTTTTGAAATCCCGACAGTGACATCGCGGGACACAAATTAAGACCTTTGCCGCTGGTGAAGATGCTGGGGGTTACTGCTGAAAGCACCCTTTCCTGGGAGATGCACATATTCCATGTCGTCAAAAGTGCAACGCCATCCTTCTCTGTTTGCCTAAAATTCGTCACCACCTTACGCCCGAAGTTCACAAACTTCTCATCCAGTCTCACATTTTCCTTCATCTGTACTGCCTCTCGATCTAGGGTGGGGCTGTTGCGTGTCACGTTGCAGCGCAAGGGGTGATAAACTTCAGGGTCAGGATCGTCACCGATGCTCGTCGGCGAAGTACAATGGCGGTGGCTGTTCAAGCGCTGGGCTGGTGCGGTGTTAATGACCTTGTCACCCACCGTAGCAGCCTGGCCGCATTCATGGTCTTCCATAAGGTGGCGATCTGGTCCCCTGTTGACCCTGCGTACCGCTGTATGCCAGCGTGCCACCCGAGCGGTGGCAGCGAACGCCCTTGATCTGCCAGCTCCTCGCCTGTCGGTGGCACGGAGGGCTTTTTTGTATTGTTCGGTCTCATGCTGAAGCCGCCTGCCGCCGAGCATCACCGCCTCTCGCATCGGCAGTGACCGAGCAGTGACCGATTATCACCGCATCTCGCATCGGCAGTGACCGAGCAGTGACCGAGCACCACCGCATCTCGCATTGGCAGTGACCGAGCAGTGACCGAGCATGACGCAGTGACCGAGCATCACCGCTCCCGCATCGACAGTGACCGAACAGTGACCGAGCATGACCCAGTGACCAAGCATCACCGCCTCCCGCATCGACAGTGACTGAGCAGTGACCGAACATGACGCAGTGACCGAGCATCACCGCCTCCCGCATCGACAGTGACCGAACAGTGACCGAGCATGACACAGTGACCGAGCATGACCCAGTGACCGAGCATCACCGCCTCCCGCATCGGAAGTGAGTTTCTCACCAGGCCAGAGGACTTAGACGGCTCCGATACGCCTTCACTGCTTTCTCGCCGTTGTGTAACATGTGTTGACGATTTAAAATTTCATAACTGGTTTTGTTTCTAGGACAGTAGCAGCAGCCTTCTTCCTCGGAGAAAAACCAGGCGAGTGGAGAAATAGATGGGTTTATATTTCGGCAGCATGCCTTCATCGAAACAATAGCAGAAGTGTCATTCTCCTGCTTTGTTTAGATAAAGGCATGTTGCCGAAATATGAAACCAGTTATGTCTCCACTCGCCTGGTTTTTCTCCGGGGAATATGGCTATTACTACTGTCTTATCTATGTGAATAATGTTCCTCGCTAATGCACTGGACAACTTACGTGATTTTATTTCTGAGTAAGTTGCGGGACGACCCGTTGGTGATAACGTGCGACTGTAGTTGCCTTATAATGTTTTAATATGGCACTCATACTGCAATTACACTCGCACCGAATCAAACAATACGACAATTGTTTGAATTGTTCGTGGATACACTAAACTAAATTGCACTGACCTGTCGTCAACGATATTACGCGCTGGAAGGGGCATGCTCACAAACACATCTAGACGTGTGCTCCGCAGACTTGTAACACGGCGCTGGGATGCAAGCGGTGTTTTAAAACAAACATCGATCATGTAAGTATTAGCTACCGGATATATACAATGCTTTGTAGAGCTTGAAATTTTTTATGTTTCTAGAAAATGGCACTTTGTCGCAGGCATTGCAACAATATGACCTGCCCTGGCATTGCTGTGAATATTTTTTAAAATTTGTTTTATAAATTTGGTCCCAATCCTTTGAATGAATGGATTTCTGGGATCAGTGCTCACGCTAAGCAGTGCTTGTTGTGTGAGCCCTGACCCCCACCATCTGATCGCGCAATTCCAGGCAACGGCAGAATTTAGTGGCGAAAGCTTTACGTGCCGCAATGCTCGGCACGGCCCGTCCTGCCCTCTGACGTGAACTGACCTTAAGCGCGACCGCTGCCACCGGCCGCAGGCCATACATGCCAGGGGGCAAATAGCGAGCGCCCTAAAGCGACTCGAACCCATCCCGCCACGGGTGGGTGGGTCGGAGTGCAGGCGCCCGAACCAACTGAGCCACCGGGACGGACGAACAAACTTTGCGAAAAATGTCTGCTTTGCCCGAGTCACTTGGCCAGCATCTTTCGGTCGATTTTGAAACATTATGAAATGCTTTAAATCATATCAAACGACTGATATTTATTAAAAAAGAAGCAGTATACTAAAGAATGTGACAACTGACTGGCCTTAACGGGCTGTACATGCCCATGGCGTTCTAATCAAATGAGTTATGCTGTTGTTAAGCTGTTAAGATGTTAAGTTGTTAAGTCATTAAGCGCATTTACCAGAGACATACAGATAAGACAGTAGTATTGGCCTTTTCCTCGTAGAACAGCCAAAAGTCTAGAAAGATAGGCACGTTGCGGGTCACTTAGCGAATATGAACAACCCTTGCATCGGTCAAACGCATCTATCTCCCTATTATCTTGTCTTTCTACGAGGGAATAAGGCTATTACTGCCTTCTTATCTGTATGTTCCGGAATCTCTCTCCCCCCTCTCTTCTCTCTCTCTCTCCTCTCTCTCTCTCCCTCCCTCTCTCTCTCTCCTCTCTCTCTCTCTCTCTCTCTCTCTCTCTCTCCCGGTGACACGTGCCCCCACACTTGATCTATCGCACCCCAGGATCCTCAATTCTCCAATCCGTCCTCAGACAGTCACGTTACATAACTGTCTATTCCAAAACGAGCCCGGGGCGTAAGCCATCCACGCCTTATTGGTTCGTGCGGCGCCTGCGAGATTTTCACACATGGGCCTCACGGCTTCCGACTGAGTTTGATCCTTACATTTCGGCCTACAGAGGCTCAGGGTCCACCTCACTGAATCAGACCCACCGACAATGTCGACCATTACAGGCCTGTATGAACGACATCTCGACATTGACCCGTTGGCGGGCGCGGTCACGGTCCTTACTTGGCGCAGCAGCAACAGGGCGCACTCTGGAGCGTAGAACGCCGCCGGTTGTGAGTGGGTAGAATACCGCCGGTTTATGAATGGCGGTAGAACGCCGCCGGTTTATGAATGAGTAAAATACCGCCGGTTTATGAATGGCGGTAGAATGCCGCCGTATAGCGTCATCTTTACCAGTGGGGCCATTTTGACCATGGTCGCCCTGGCACTGCAGTCATCCCGCAGCAGCTCAGGAGAATCCCAGAATATCCCAAGGGCGGATTTCAAAATGGGAAAAATCCAATGCGCTAGCATTTTGTATCCCTATATCAACGCCAACGAATGTATAGTCACCCTCTTCGCGCGAGATGATAGGAATTGTTTCAGGTCAGCCGTATTTAGGCCAACTCGCTACAGGTGGGCCTTACGCAGTCAGCAATCACGGGTGTCAATTTGCTTTTTTGGGTAAGCCACTGTCTGTTTACCAATATCCGATATATCCCACCATGACGGCAGGTTTAGCTCGTCGAACCTTCTGGAGCCCGAGCACATGGAAGCATTAAACATGTGAGCTTGAAATTATATAAATATTAAAGAAGGTTTTAACCAATCGGGTTTCGTTTAAAAGAAATAAAAAAGAGACATGCAGCGTCATATCCATTTGAGTGCAACTGACCAAGCTATCGGTATAAATTACCGTGTTTATTTGAGCATTTTCTGTGTTTCCTTCTCAGTTTAAGACCTCACACAAAGGTGGAGCGCTGCTTTAACAGGCAGTGTTCCATATTTGCATGGAGTTTTGAACACAGATAACCATTTTGAAAATCATTCGGTGGAGTTAACAGCGCTGCCCTTCTTAAGCCCTACAAAGTCTAGTTTATGAGTTGAACGCCCGCAAATATGTGCAGACTATCTCATGCAGACTATTTCAAGGTCATTCAGGCATCCATCTTTAAGGTCAGAATAGGCCACTGACCTGAAATGACCAAGGTCAACATTTTGCTTTTAGGAATATACTGCCTAGCGTAACACTTGTCGCTTTTTCAAATTTAAGACACAAAGCAGTCTTGAATGATTCTGATCGCCACAATCTTTGAAATGTCAAACAAGGTCACTGACCTAAG